TCAGCAATCGAGTCGTTCAGTTCATTGCGGAATAAGTCCCAGTTGGTTGTGTAGCATCGACGTCGGAGGCGGCGCTGGTTATACGCGGCCAAACCAATTTTCAACGGATGGTGATCACTCCCCCAGCAGTCTGGTTCTAGGTCCCACGAAACGTCACACATGCCCAACCACCACGAGAGATCGGGCGCATAAGGTGGAGCACAGGGATGATCCCACCGACGTGTAGAAGTAGCCGGGGCATTCAGAAGGACAAAGTGCGCGTCTGTAAATGTGTCTAGCACGATGTTGCCTCTAGCACTGGAAGAAGGGTAGCCCCACGACTGATGAGGTGCATTGAAGTCTCCCCCAACTAGTACTGGGCACCCAGGATAGGTTTGACGCAGGTGAGCCAGCCACCCCAAACGCAGTCGGGGAGCGCTGCCACTATACGGACGCACGTAAACTGAAACCACAATCACGTCAGTACGCGGAAGTCTAACGAGCACTGCCACCACTTCTTGCCACTGGTTACACCACTGCAGCAGGGGAACCTGCGTTTGAGGATATGTAGTCACAACATACACTGCAGCCTTGCCTGGAGGTCCCAACGCATTGGTGCAGCGTCGATCAGGGATGGTTGGGGAATCATACGCAGTGAATCCAGGGATGCGTGGAAGCGAATTCGTTTCTTGTAGAAGCAGGCACCAAGCGGGGAGCTTCCCCAGCGCCAGGCGATAGCGAAGCTCACCAACTTTATTTGCAAGTCCCCGGCAGTTCCACTGCAGGACACAGTGGTGGCGCGTTGCTTTCAAAGGAGTGGTCATTGCGGTGGAAGGTTGGCGAGCACCACCTTTGAAAGCTCTTGCAGTTGCCGGGCAACGAAGTGGAGGAGCTCTGCCGGAGTCATCTTGACTGGTGCTGACGCGCTTGCGCAGGATAATTCAGGCACAGAAGCAGCGTACGGCACGTCTGTACCGCGCATCGCAGTTGGTCCAGCGGGTCGAGCGAGATGGGTTCTGCGTTGAGCGAGGCGCTTGACTTCCATTTGGAGCTGCTGTATCTGTTGGTCAAGCTTCGCCAGATCGTCTGTACCCGTAACGCTCAATTTAGGCGTATTCGCAGGCTGCTGAACACGTTTTTTGCCCCGCTTGACGGCGTCGCTGTACGTGGGGACTTCATAGCAAGCATTTTCAGGTTCTACCAACGCTGGTGTGTCCTCTTCGGAGGGGGACAACAGTTCAAACCGGTTGCTAGTCGGAATGTCGGCGTCCCTTTCTTCTTGTGTCACCGAACGCTGGCGGCGCTTGCGTTGGCGACGGGCTTTGAGAGCCTTCTGTTTAACTGGACAATCTTTGGACGTTATTTCATGATCGTCCGTTTGGCAGAGCCCACATTTGTACGTGCGCGTCTCGACGGACTCCATGGAGGTGTCTGCGGGTTGGGGACAAGAATCTCGCATGTGACCGGTACGAAAACACCGATAGCAGTGTACCACACCGGGCTTGTACACATGAAATTTCAGGATGCATCCATAGTACGTAATGCGGCTTGGTGGCGTTCGAGGCCCTTGGAGAGTGACAAGGCACGTGCGTCCACGGCCCATATAACGAGCTGTTACAATCTTGTGTGTGGAGCAGGTCAAAGCAGTGATAAGGCCCTCCGGCGATTCCCCTGGGTCAACCCCAGAGACCACATACCGACGCAAGTCCGAGCCGGAACTCAAGTACGCTTGCACCTGTACAGTACAATCAGCTGTGACTGGCAGAGTTTGCAGGTGGGTGAGGCGGTCAACGTCTGCTAGCGAACGCACCCATACGGATACGCTGTTGGTGGGATGGTGAATGGAGAAACCTTGAAACGCGGTGGTTTTGAGGCAGGTGTCGAAGGCTGACTGAAGGAGGCGATTTGACAATTTTGATACATCGAAGCACTCACGAGGTTTTACGACGACTTTGTACTTAGACTCGGTGCCAGGCGAGGCGACAGCTGCCGGAGAGGGGCACTCCCGCTTGCTTGCCGGTGTGGCTGAAGCAGACAAATCATCTATTCCCATTTGTGAGTCAGCCACGCGTTTCGCACTGCGTTTCGGAGCGGATGATGGTTGTGATGGCTGCGTCCCAAGCTCCGCTGCAGCCATCGTCACTGGTTCACATGAAGAACACGGGAGCGCCGCCGCTGCCAGACGCAACCGGCGAGACGCCGGAACCGTCCTGGCGAGCGTCCCACGCACAATGTTGAAGTGAACGGCACCAAGGGTGGTTAGTCCAGGTCGTCGATGGTGTCCGGAAGAAGAGTGCTTGGGGGCGACCCCACGGCCTCGTCCAGGGCGTCCGGCAGGTCTGTCCTTAGCCGGTGGGGCCAGAGAGCTGGGCGGCGTTGCGTTGAGCCAGGGCGCAGAGAGTGGGGGAACGCCGGTGGGGCGATGGTCGCGCGAGCCGATGCTTTCAGCCGATATTCACGGAGCCGTCGAAACGCGTCCGCTCTCGTCGGCAGCTCAGCTGCGTCTCCGTCTCCGCTGTCGAATCGCTTCTCAAGGAATGCCAAGTCATTCATCGCACCACCACCGCGTATCATCCTCAAACAAATGGCATTACAGAAAGATTCAACCGTACATTAGGAGATATGCTGTCGATGTACGTCGCAACCGATCACACCAATTGGGACAGTATTCTCCCTTTTGTAACCTACGCGCATAATACTGCTGTCCAGACAACCACTGGTTTCTCGCCATATTTCCTCCTTTATGGTCGCGAGCCCTCTTGCACGCTAGACACCATCCTTCCTTACCACCCGGATGTTGCTGAGTCGACGACGATGTCACAAGCTGCTAAATACGCGGAAGAGTGTCGTCAGCTTGCCCGCTCATTCACAAGTGCTGAACAGCAACGCCAGAAACACCACCGCGATAGCCCGACGCCTCCGGCTTCTTATGCATCGGATGAACTTGTCTGGCTTCGCATCCCTTCAACCAGCCCTGGTCTCTCAACGAAACTGATGTACAAGTATGACGGACCTTACCGTGTGGTTAAACAAACTTCACCCGTCAATTACATCGTGGAGCCGCTTGAACAGCCCCATGATCAACGACGCCGTGGACGTGAGACCGTCCACATAGACCGCCTAAAACCGTATTACGATCCCTCTATTGTCTCCTGCCCATGAGTCGCCAGGATGGCTCTTTTCCGGAGGGGAGGAAAATGTAGTGAAGAAGATGAATGCTACTCAGAAGGGCAGGGGGTATGACTCAGTCGGTGAAGAAGACGACGTTTGGTTGGCTGGGGACTCAGGCTGGTTCCGCCATTACCACTTGACGTGTCGTGACCGCTCTCCTGTTTTATAAAAGAGTGCAACTCTAAAACGCCTCATTATAATATATATATATATATATATATATATATATATATATATATATATAAGGGAAAGAAGTGTATACCTAAGGGCTCGTTTTTCCGTGTTTTTAACACAATATTAATGAGATATAACAGACAGTAATGCCAAGGAATGTACAGGGGAAGTTATTAAAATCAATGGAATGTAAATAAGATGAAAGAAAAGTGGATGAAAAAATTACCAACTGTGAGCAGGAATCGAACCTACGACCTTCGAAGGTCGTAGGTTCGATTCCTGCTCACAGTTGGTAATTTTTTCATCCACTTTTCTTTCATCTTATTTACATTCCATTGATTTTAATAACTTCCCCTGTACATTCCTTGGCATTACTGTCTGTTATATCTCATATATATATATATATATATATATATATATATGTCACTATCCACGCAATAAAGAGTGCACGTCTTTTATGTGTCCTTTATTATTGCGTGTTATGCGTCCTAGGCTAGACAGAACTCTCAACCTGGCCTGTATACCTCAGCTTTTAATCTGGTCTAACTTCAAGAGTAGTTCACAACGATGAATCAGTGGCTGCGGCGCTCAGCTGCTTATTTGAAGGTCGTGGGTTTGCATTTCAATGGAGCCGAAATGGCAGAGGCCTGTGTATGGTGTGTGACGTCAGGGCACGTTAAATAGCACCTCATGGCCGAAACTTCCGGATAATTCCACAACTGTGTCTCTCAATGATGCCATAGATTTGGGGAGGACACCCAATGTAATATTTTTAGTGTATTTTCAAGGTTAAAAGAAAACAAAAGCAGTTTACTCATTCATGGCTTCTTGAAGTGGGTTCTGGGAAACCTAGGGATTTCGCAGGTCACTCAGCTCGAGATTCTGCGAGCCACTAATAAATTTTTCCTCGTTCCGCAATCGCGAAGGCATTTAGACGCTGAAATCGAGGAGCGACATATTTATGGAGACCCTATTATTCACACACGAGTGTCTGTAAGCACATCTCAGGGATTTACAGACACGCGTCAGCTGTGAAATTGATCCAGCTAGCAGCTTGTACCCAGTCAGACTCCAAAAATGGGCCACGCATTTAAGCTATTACATTTGAATTTTGGAGGCTTTATATTACCTTAATGAGCCTTTTTCCTGATTGAAGATAGACGCCGAAGATAAGAAACTCAGAGTTTTGCAACAATTTGCAACAATAGATGCAAATAATCTGGCATTCTTGCCACTAGCCTATATCAAAAATAAGCTCAGGAATCGGCCGAGTCCCGAAGCCAACATGTGGCTGGTAATGGCTGGTCGCCTTCTTGGTGCAAGGAATGCGAGTTCAGTACGTTGCATGTGACTGAGTAAGATTTTTTATATACCCTCGCTTTTCGCACGTGAATTTAGCATTAATCAAATTAAAAGTAACTGCATAAAAGAGGGGCAGAGAGAGGAGGTTCTTCAGTCTTTAATGATGCTTAACATGGTTCCCCAAGACCAAGATGCTTGAGAACCTCTGTATTATTTGTTATACTTCCAAGCTCAACGACCAACTGTGACGAGCTTCTCGTGTTCATTGAATATAAACACGAAACACTTGCGGTCACACAAAGCTTTGCTTGATTAATCAATTGACCGAATCAACTTTTAGTTCCAATCTCCCAGAAACTGGCACAGCCGTATACCTGAGATCCGACCGAGGTTGCCAAGTCTTGAGCCAGCGTAGCCGCAGATCTGGGCTCCCAAGCTGTGTCCGATGCAATGGAAGGTTGATTGGCTCGCCCCCAACACTTTCTGCGAAAGGGAGATCGTTGTCATTTAATGGTGGGTCGAACTGGTTTGCCATGCTTGCTGCCTAATGAACAATTGTTGACGAGCTGCTTTACACCTATATGTAGGTGCTCAACATAGGTATACCACATTATTTTCAATTTAGCCGGGCAGCAAGTTTTGAATGTAAGGTTTTTCGAAAAAGCAGCTAGGCATCAACGCCGATACAAATCCATACAAGAACCACAGAATGTGTAAAACCGTAATTGTGTGAATGCCGTCTTGTGAAGATACGAGAAACACTAAATTTTTAATGCTCCAAAACATGGCTCTTTAGATAAAAGATGCGTATAGCCTCACTTCCGCGATTCCTATGTTTGCCGCTAGACGATTTTACCGCAATTTATGAGGGGCGCAGCAGATCGTAACATTGGGTAAATGTAACAGCATGAGCCACCACCGGAGACATTACACCGCAAAGTAGTATCTTTACAATATACACCTTGGCCAGTCAGACTTGGCTATGATCAGACTGATTGAACAAACCAATGTGTGCTTTCATTAATAAAGACTACTCCCATACACTTGCTGCTTATCTCGTCTCGTACAGAACTAGTGAGGACTGTTGTCCTCGGTACTTCAAACATGCTTTTTTTTTCTAATTTAAACTCCAGTACTGTGGTAAGTATGCGTGTTTTCTTAACTATATTGCCAAAAAAGGTGAAGCACCTCCGTCGTTTTGACTAGAAAGGCAATCTCTGCTCCAACGACCCTGCCATTGGCTGTGGCTTGACTGTAAGGAAGCACGTTGCCTCCTCGCCAGTCAACCACTATCACATTGCAGTCCATGGTGTCCAGGAAGCGGTCTTTCATCTCCTGCAAGAGTTAAGAGACACAGCAGAAATAAGTTGGCAAAAGTTGTATACAAGCAATGAAGTGTATTTAGAAGCACATAAATTGGATGGAGCATGCACTCGTTCGTGCGATATGTCTCTAGTATCTTGTCTGCCATGCACTCCTAACACCACTATACACAATTCAGTGTAGTTTACTATATATCTTTCACCAGCGTCGTTTTCACATCAAGCATTACGTATCAAAAGCACAATATGTTTCGAACCCAATAATGGAGGACTGTGCATTGATTTTGGTAACATAGGAATATTTATCCTACTCTCACACTTCACCTCGTCAACAGACAGCCATTGTAGCAATAAATGGAGACCACTATCTGAGTTTTAACAACATGATGCATTAAGGGCTGACCTGCCAACGTAAATTTTTCGCTTCCGTCTCGAAGAAGCCTTCTTTCTTTCTAGCTTTGCCAAAATTAAAATCTGGGGTGACCCTCATTTAGTCACCTACGGTAGGTATAGAAACACCAATTACATGCGCCAGCCAATGAGGTACTCACAAAAAGCCAGTTTCCAACTAGGATGTTGTCCATGAAGCCATGCACAATGATCTTGGTAGGCTTCTTTGGCTGGAACACGGTGTGGTGCACGAGGTGGTCGACGTCCGACTGCAGGTACTCCTGCACCACGGGGTTGCTGCGCGTGAACAGCAGGAACGTGGTGTTGACTAGGTGCCGGTCGTCGGGCAGTAGCGACACCGGCCGGTACAACAGGTGAAACCAGTGGCCGCCAGTGCGGAAGCAGCCCAGGTCCGGCATGCATTTCTCGAAGAGGGCCAGACTCTCTGCGTGTTTAAACGACATGGACGAGAAGGACTCCAGTTGTAGATGCTGTAGTGCAGACGTCAAGACCATAGCCAAGATTTTTTTTTTTCGGGGGACTTCACCTGCTCAAGGACTTGAAGAACCAGCATTTTCATTATTTATTCTCGGTGAAACAGCCACCCCCCCCCCCTTCATTCGCATATCGGGGGGGGGGGGGGGAGTGCCTAGGGAATTTTTCTTGACTAATGCCCTGGCAGACATCAGGCTAGATGTTCGCAAAGGATAGGCAGTGAGTACACCGCTAACTCAATGTGAGTGGGCCTTTGTTCAGCAATAGTCGACGAGGGTTGCAAGGTGGGCTTCTTGGTGACTCATTTGAAAAGCTTTGATGCAGCCGAAAATGAGGCACGCCCACGAGGAAGCGCATATTCAGCGCCATGGAGTGTCTATATGTGCTTTCCCTTGTCCGTGCATCGTATTGCGCTACATCAAAGCTTTTTAATTGAGTGATATGTTTGCTCTACAGCAATCACAAGAGAGACGTACTATATGACATATTTGGGAGGTTGGAGGGGGAGGGGAGGATGGTACACGGGAAACATTTATTAGCCTTCATGCTCTACCACCAAAGACAAACTTAGTCATATCAGTAAGATGTTCACAGCCTTGTACAGAACAGAAAGTTTCTCGTTCAATCTTGATGGGCTAGTAAACAACAACGAAGTTGAAAAATTATTAATAAAAAAAACATGCGCACTTTTGCTTTGGGAACATGCTAGCAGATACAAATTTTGCGAATAAATGCTATATATTGTAAGTTACCGGCATTAGAACATCGGTTTCAGCTGGTTTCAAATTTTCGCGCTGCCTCACCACACTTTTCCCTCACAAATTTTTGTGCGTGTGAATCCGGATCAGGGAAATTGTGGTTAGCCTCAGTCCGGTTGTGCCCTAAGTGCGAAATATATTTTATGAGCGAGTCTTACCGCCACAATTTCTACCGACCTATGCTTAAAACAGCTTTTGACTCGGGCTCAGTAACATCTTAGAACGTTTCGCCACTTGAAGGGGGAACAAAGTGAGATAAACGTTTCTTATGATGTTATACATTGACTCGCGATTGGTAGCTTTTTTTTTTTTTTTTTGGGGGGGGGGGGGGGGGGTATTTCATATGCAGTCTGTCCCGACACCTCATGCGCAGAACAATCAAAGCCTGCCATGAAACGCCCATAGTTGTACATGTTATGATGACCGAACATCTTGCACCGCTTGCACAATGCCCAGTCTTACAGCTATGTTTCATTAACTACCTCAACACCTAATTCTTTACTTAGACATTCGTAATTCTGCACGTTTTCTCCCACCGGCTGCCTTGAAGCATGGTCCAGGGAGCAGCAGGGCCAGCAAGAGGGCCCACCAGCGAATCCAGCCCCTCATGGACCTCAGGAGTTCGTCCTATGGTTTGCGGGGGCGCCCCCTAGAGGGCGCACCACGGCTTTTTGCTTCACAGGATCTGCGAACACAAAGGTGGCAGTGTCTATATAGTAATCCCTACAAGTTTAAAGCCATGCACATGGAACGTTAAGAGCAAAACAATGTAACGGTTTTGCTACAAGAACAACTAGAACAAAAAGATTCGGCAGATCCCGCGTACATTGCGAATCGATGTTATGCGAAGCATGCGGAGGAAAAGTGGACTTGTTGTAATTCTTTTGTTGAGCGACACGTCATGAATAGACGCTAAATATATGCATCAATGTTGCACGCTCGGACATATGTTGAAGAGTTACAGATGGTCATATAGCCAGTTCTTTGCACTTGCGCAACGATGCCAACAGGAACTTGAGTATCAGCAACACCAGAAGTGATTAATTGATATGAAGCACTGGTTATCACGAGAGCGGTAGCCCTGACGCTGCTACATAAATCAACTTGTAGCGCATGGCACTCGACAACTGACTATAGCCCGCCGTGACACACTTTTCTTTTTATCGCGAAATGCCTCCTCTCTTCTGACGCGCCTATTATAGTTTGCCACGGTCGCCTCTCCCTTTCCCCACCCCTCCCCCTCTTTCGCAAATACTTTCTCTCCTTTCATTGCTTTGCAGGAGTGCATGGGTACGAAGCATACGCACACATACGCTAAAGAATTCAGATGCAGCCTTGAAATAGACGAGTTCACCAGTCCAAAGGTCGGCTCCAGCCCCCAACCTCTGCTTACGACTATCCCATCGCAAGCTTCAATCTTGCCCTTCTTGTCTATCTTTTGCAACACACTCTGTTATGACTAATGAACGCGACAGCGCATTAACATGAGCTGGTTGGCATGCACTTATGAAGGAGACTACAAGAGCATGTCACGGGCCAACGGCGCTAATAATCGCTGAAAAAAAAAAGAGAAACAACCTAGTCGTGCCGTAAATTTGTCACATATCTAGGTAAGTGGTTACTTGGACAGAAGAAGCATCCAATTTACTTTATAGCCGCTTTTGTCAACAAATAGTTTAAATGCAGATTCCGAATATACACCCTAAAATAATTGTGAAGTTATTGTGCGAACAAAGAGAGGCCCGTACGCTGGTGCTGTTCTGCACAGAAATGCCGGGTCAGGCAGTGAGCAGCATTTGAGACAAAGTGAAGGCGACGAACATGGCACTTTCGGAAGAGTTAACTTGAACTTTGTGAAGGGTAGTAAAAAACACAGCACAAGAAACGATGGAAACGCACAAAGCCGCAACATGTCAACGCTGTCTGCGTTTATTGTCCATTGGTAACCGTGATTTTTTGCGCTGTTGTGTTTCCCTTAGCGCGGTGCTTTTGCAAATGTACTAACCATCGGACTACAGCACAATAATATTGTATCCACAGTTTTGTAGCTGCGAAGCTACAATAGGTAGATGCATAATAGCTTACAGCTCACTTCAAGACACGGACGAAGGGACACACGATACCAAGCGTGTCCCTTCTTCGTGTGTCAGAGTGCGCTGTAAGCTATGATGAATCTTCACCAACTAGCCCGGTCAAAAACTTCGAATATGTAGGCTATAGGCTATACCACTCGCACCCCTCATTCCACCCACTCCCGGTACATGCGCAAAACGTTACAGCAATTTAGCAAACCACAATTAGAGGACGCAACCTGCAACATACACACAGCCATGGATTCATAATCGATGCTTCGTGAAGAGAGAAACAAAGGCAACCGACGTCTATCTGATTCAAGCAAAGAGCACGCTACACTCCACACAAGGCTTGATGCTCACTCGTTTGCGTGTGCAATGATTCGCCGTGGCTTACCTTAACCGTGTGCTTCCGTCTGGGCTTTAGTAACATCCGGTACACCCATAAGGCATGGTCAAACGGCAGGCGTTTACGCGAAGCGCCATCACAACAATCCGTTTCGGTGTCCCAAAGCACGCGCCAAAACAAGCATACCGTCGAGCAGACACGTCATGCACCACGTCCAAACCAGAACAGAAGCCAGCGAAGAACACCGACGTTTCGGGACTTCACGTGGACTTCCCTCGTTTCTACGACAGCCAACCGACATCACACCCGACGAATTCACCTGGTCTCGAAAACCCACGTGGTCTGCTTTCGAGGTGACCCTTCTACACCTGCAAGTGGCTGGTCTACTGTCAGCTTTTGTGTGTGTTTTGTGTAGTCGAAAAAAGCCTGCGTTTAACTACAGGTTTGATGACTGGACACAAGTGAGATAAGGACGATAGGCGTTTCTTTTGTTGTCGTTATCTGCTTGTCAAGCAGCTCGGGATGCCAGGGTCAAGTGTATGGGTGACCACACAAAAAAGAGGTCGTCAGGGGGGGGGGGGGGGGGGCTCCGCACAAAAGGAAAAGTGGAGGGCAAGTGTGGATAAAAGGTATGGAGTCACGAAATGGCCAGGGCAAAGGGGGAAATCACTTAGCCCGAGAGCGGAACGTAACGACATTTTGGATCACCAGCAAATGGCCTCAAACGGCCACAAGAAAGACGTGTGCTCCTGGAGAAAAGGCTGTGCACGCGTTGATGACACCGCTGTGGAACGGAAGCATCTGGTCCGCATGGCAGTCAGTCCATCTACCGATTCACGGCTACACCAATTTACCTAATTATAGCAGCAATGCCACGCGTACAAATAGAATGCAGAAACTGCACGTGCATTCGCGGTGCGCAAACAGTGGCGCCACAGCAGAGAACAACACAAACACCGGCTATCAACGGAGAACACGCACTGCAGGGAAAAAGAGCGTCATAACTTAAACACTAGTATGTCTGGCCATGTCCATGATTCATTTTCATTATTATGTCTCATTCATACTGAGGAATCTGCCGTCAACAGTGTGCAGAATTCTCGCGTCGCCGAGGGCCAGGTTCATTCACATACGACACCACCCAAAATGCCATACAGCGTCATCTTCCGCGTAAAACACTAACTATAAGGCAGGAGTCGGACGGAAGTTCCCAGTCTCTTCAGCTCTGCGTTCACACGTCGTTATGGCGGGTCATGTATAAGCAAAGGTAAAATGTAGTAACATGTGCGTGCCATATCTTAGTAGCAGAAACATCGATTCGCTGAAGAAAAAAAGATGCAAGCATTGGTGTTTGCTTTGTCCTGATTTGCAAAACGCCAGAAGTTTGGTCGTGCCAAGACAATGCAACCCGTTCAACCAGGTCGCAACTTGACGTACGCGTTAGGGTTGGTCGAGGTTTCTTTCTACTCGTGGGAACAGACACTTAACGTTTGTCGAAAAGAATGGAATGCTTACGGAGGGCTTCGTTATGAGTACAGTATTCTGTGACCGTGTTATCACGAGTGACACCACCATTCTTTTTTTTACTTGCACTCTCATTGGTCTACGGTGATGGGATCCAATGGCAGCTGCCGCAAAAATCATTGCTGTACCGATCAGTTCAGAAATGACTTACGGTGCGTTTTGCTGCCGCCGGCGTGGATTTCGTGCCGACGTCACCACCAGATGTCTCAGTGTGAATTGGGCGTAATTGTGTACAATACCAACAAGAACGAAAGAGAACACTGTCTCTTAAATTTCACGCACTGTCTTCTGCATTCAGGAAGTCAGCTTCATACCGGCAAGTAATGTTTCCGCAGAATAACGTCAATTGAATTCTTATGCGATTTTATAGTACTGAATGATCATGTGCAGTATGCTCAGAGGAAGAAATAGCAAAATGTGCATACAGAACGCGTGAAACCCTGAGACAATTATTTGAGATAATAGGGTTTCAAAAAATTATGACTTCTTACGTATTGTTATGGGAGCTGCGCTGCATGAACATAATTAAGTGATGAGGTAAAAAAAAAAACTACATGGCTGACGTTGCCACGCACTAAAGGAAAGACGACTGTCTATTGGTAATGTGAGAAACAGTCACCTAGATTACGATAGAAAGGATCAGCCCATGCAACCTGTTCTTGGTGTCGAGACTAAGCGTCTGGCCCGAAATAGAAACGCACTAATGCAATCAATTGTAATTGTGTTCGTTAAATGCCAATTAAAACTTTCCCATGTGACAGCACGCAAAATGACAATGAGAACAAGTGTCATTATAAAGACTATCATCATCTGCCTGACTGCGCTCAGTGAAAGGCAAAGGACCTATTTCATTAATGAACCCGGTCCTGCTCTTGTTGCGGCCACTGAACCTTGTTTTGCCTTCCTGTTACCGCTTCTTTGTTTTCTTTGAATCCAGTCTAACTCTTTATTACTAGAGAACAATAATGTCCTAATGCCTACGTACACCACAATAATGAAGACAATATGTTTTTCCAGGACCACCACTACAGTGTGTGGCAAGGATGCCGAAAACGTGACGTGGAGGAAGGAACGACTTTCCTTCTTTCTAACCATGACATAGAAACTGCACGAAACAAGCATATGATTTTCCTGTCCTCGAAGTAAGGGGAGGGAAGCCACTCAAGCAGACGCTATTGGTCCTCATAAAAAAAATATTGTGCACAGCTTTGCGCTCTACCATGGCTCGTCGGGTTTTTTGTGTGGGAAGCAACCATGACCTCTCCGACAACTAAACGCTTGAAAAAAAATCAATGGTGTGGGGCAGGAAATGGTTATGAGCCATCCAGGAAGCGTGAAAAAAGCAGCAACAAGTAAAGATATGACCACAACATTTTTTCTCAGATGGTAACAGTTTACTAGAAAGACAAGTCAATCCGAAGACACGAGCGCTAACTTCCAACTGGAGTTGGAAGTTAGCGCTCGTGTCATTCTTGTCTCTGTGTCGTCATTTCCTTCTATAACTATCGTCACGCCATACCAACTAGCCCAAGCTGCCACACTTCCGAGGTCACCGTCAGTGAAGGAATAGATTCGTATGACGTCCACGTGTTCTGCACACGCAAAAATTTATTTTGGATGGTTCCACCGAGAAGAAGGCAGTCTAAACAACGCACGTTGGGAAAAAAACACCCTTATAAGTAGCGAAATTTTCCTGTTGACCCTATTGGTTCTGTCCGTTCTTCAGCGGTCCCCTCACTG